ACTGAACAATGGACAGGGAAGTTCCCATCTCTAATTGTTCAATGTTTTCCCTTTCTGTCATATTTTGCTTCATGCATTATAGATTTCTGTTTTCTTGGTGAATTGGCCTTTTTTTCAGGTTTCTCTTTGTCCTGGTAATTTGTGTGATGTTAATATAGTCAGCTCTCATTGGGAGGAGTACCTCTTCTTTGATGAACTTCACTTCCTACAAGGCAGAGCTTGTGAGCACGCTCCACCCCACAGTCTGTCCCTGGTGGTGGGGGTAGTTGACTGCCAGTTGCTGTAGCTTACCGACAGTTCACTTCTGGTTCATGTAGGGAAAGTAAGGTCTGTAAGGTCACAGCCATGGTCCTCACACCAGGCTTTCCTTGGGACTTCTCTTGATGAGAATTTTTGGTGTTTTTAGGTTGCAGGCTGTTTAAGCATCCAGGAGGGAACATGTAGGAGGTAAAAAAGGAAACAAACAAAAACCAGGTAACTGGCTTTTCTCTCAAGACCCATGTTCTCTAACCACCTTCTGTATTCCACTTTTCAGAGTCTTATAATAGTTTTGTAGATTTTGTCCCAAGTTTTCCGTTACATATATATATAGCAGGAGCAATAGAGTGGAATGTAATTATCTTGTCTGGAACCAGGAGGTTTTCATTATCTTCATGTCTGGACTCTCCCTCACATACATCATTTGTTCCTGAAATGTAGCCAAGTGATGTCCCTCTTCTCATCATAATATACCGTGTTCTTAATCTCCATTATTCCTTTGGACATGTTTTCCCAACTTTGTTTTTGCCTAACTCCTCCTCAGTTTTCAATGTGCACCTAAATGTCTCTTCATCTAATGAACTTTGTCTATCCATCAAGTGCCGTCTCTAGAATCTCCCAGTCCCTTCAGCTCCTCACATGTGGCTGTCCCAGGTCATGTCAGATATTTTATTAGCCATTTATTGGCATATTTAATCTAGTTGCCTTTCTTATTAAACTGCTTGTCCTTTGAGGTTAGAAAATACATATTTTATAATTTCTGCTTTCCCAGTACCTACTTAGTGATATGTAGGTGGAACTCAGGGAATGTTTATTGAATAAATAAATAAATATGATATAATATTATTAACCTATCTGTGAGAATATTCCTAACAATTATGTGAAATTGAAATGTAACCGAGATCTGAATTTGGAGATGCCTGGAACCAGCTAAGAATGGATTTTGAAGATGTGGTGCTGTGAGTTAATGTGCTGGACTGCAAAGTCGGTTTAAACCGCAAGGTCAGAAGTTCAAGCTCACCAGTCACTCCTCAGAAATCCTGTAAGGATCGCTATGGATTTGAACAGAATCGATGGCATTTAACAACAACAACATTATAGATTATAGAGTACTAGTGTGGTTATGTGTGTTAATGTGCTGGCCTGCAAGGTTGGTTTGAATCACAAGGTCGCCGGTTCAAGCTCACCAGCCATTCCTCGGAAACTCTATACAGGCTTTCTGTGGATCAGAACCAACTCGATGACACTTAAAAAAACAACAACAACAATGATAGATTATTAGGAGCATGGTGGCTTTTTAGGATAAGCACTGGAACTTAAGCCACAAAGTCAGCATTTTCAGCTGACCATCAAGAGGGAGAAAAATGAGGCTTTTTGTTCCCGCAAAGATTTACAGGGTCTCTGTGAGTCGGAACCGACTTGATAGCATTTAAAAATAACATTGTAGATACTCAAGGAGCTCTGGTCATGCAGTGACTAAGCACTCCTCTGCTAAGCAAAAGGTTAGTGGTTCGAAATCCACCCACCTGACCATCTGTCCCCATAAGATGTAGCCCAGAAAACCATGTAACATGGGGTTGCTGTTAATTGAAATCAGCTCAAAGGTCTAAACAATAGCAACAAAACTGGCTTATGCATGTATCTCAGCTCCTTTTCTCTTCCTTTACTTCATCCTTCATAGTGGATAAACTCCAATCCAACATGAAAGAAATTCTGTGCTTAATCTGCATACTCAGCTAGAGAAACCACACAGTAATTCTAACCAGTCTCACTTCAGTATCACGAGCACTAACCACAAATATTTTTCTTATCCCACTGTATTTCTTTAACCTTTTTAATTCTTCTCTTTTGAATGACTGCTTTGTATCTTTTCCTCTCTTCACATCTGTCAACACCTCCTCTTCTATTCTTCTCAGCTGATGGATTTTCTGATTTTATTGGGAAAATATAAGCCCCCCGAAGACAACTTGAATCTGATTCACCTCTGCACGTCCCTCCCTACACCATATAGCCTTCCTTCTGTCCCAAACCTATCTGCAAACTCAGTCTTTCTTTTATTTGCATTAGAATCATCACTTTCTACCCACCCAAGTACATTGCTCTAAAATTCCCCCTTTCCTTGTTTCATCAATTTCCCCTTCCCTACTTAATTTTTTAACCAACATAAACGTATTCTGTTTCACACAATTAAAAATGAAGTTCTCTCCCCTCTCTGGATCACACCGACTCCTCCAGCTACTTTATCATTTCTCCGTATTCATTCATAATCCAATAGCTGATTTGAATAATTCAGTTTAACGGTGAATTTCACTGTTAGAAATTTTGTTCTCGGACTGGGCTCAATCTCTTTTCCAACAGACATTAGGGTTGATCTTTGCTGTACATAAGAGATATATTGTATTGATCTAATATTCTCAAGTCAAATAAATAAGAAGAGAGTAATGTAACGTGGATGCCTGGCCAAGAATTTGGTGGCAGAGGGCTGGAGTCCGTAGTGACTGAAGACCGTCCCCAGGTTTGGGGAATTACAGACTTTGTCCAAGATTGCTCAGGTGGCTAAGGTCATTGCTGAAAGACTTACACTCCTGACTTAACGAAAATTTGGTTTCAAGACCGAAAAGAGTCCAGGATAGTTGTGCACATAAATTTGTGAAAATTCTTTTGGAATGCTTATTCTTCGATGGTATTTTTCCTTCATTCGGAATAGGTATTACCTTGGCTTGGTGGCAGTGGTTTTGGTTTGTGATTTTTCGTCAAGATTGCAACCCTGTTCTGGAACCTTTTAGCTAATGGTGTTGCATCTGTCTCACTAATATATCCCCAATACTTCTTACCACCTGCAACATACAGCCATGGCCACCATCATCTTTTGTCTTAATTTTTGCTCAGCCTGTTAATTGCAAGTAAAGGCCTGTTTGTGCTTTTTTTTTATTTTCCCTACGTTTACTTTAGTCAAGTCCATGGTTTATTCCCTTCTTAGCATCTTTGGTCTTTACCTGTTCCTTCTCAGGTATATTTACAATTGTAAGCTTCCCCTTTCCTGACAGCAATTTCTCTCACTATCTCTGGTTTATTTTTCTGTCTCCACAGCACTTACCATAATGTAGACACTATATACTTAAATGAAGGAGCCTTGGTAGCATAGTAGGTTATGTAAAGTCAGGAGTTTGACTCCACCAGCCACTCTGGGGGAGAAGGATGAGATTTTCTACTCCCAAGGAGCTCTGGTAGCATAGTGGTTACAAACTGGGCTGCTATCCTCAGGGTCAGCAGATCGAAACTACCAGCTGTTCAGCGGGAGAAGGAGGTGGCTTTCTGCTCCCATAAAGATTTACAGCCTTGGAAACCCTGTGCAGAGTTGCTATGAGTCGGAACCGACTCCACGACACATAAAAACAACAACAACAACAACAACAGAATATTTATAGCCTCGGAAACCCAATATAGGGTCTCTGTGAGTTGGAACTGAAAACAGCAAGGTATATTTAAATTACTAATTTTCTGTGTTCATCCCATAGAAGCTACATGAGGACATACATTTTTATCTTTTGTTTATTGCTGTCTCTCTGAACCTAGAGCAATGCATGGGCTGTCTAATCTGCTGGTGTATTTTCTGGTTGTTGTTGTGAAGTGTCGTTGAGTCAGTTCCAACCCATAGCGACCCTGTATATGGTTTCTGAGGAGCAGCTGGTAAGCTTGAACTGCCGACCTTGCAGTTCAAACAGGTTTGCAGGTTTGCAGTCTGGCACATTAACCCACAGCGCCACACTAGGACTTATGGTAGTGAGAAGAAATTTGGAAATATGATCTACGGAAAAATTCTCATTATTAGATATAGGATGCTTATAAATTCTTTAAGAAGACAAAGTGTTAACTTATATTAACTTATACAAGAATGCTTAGGGTGACTCTTACCAAGTATACAGATAAACAACAGAAAGAATGATTTGACGAATAAATCCAATTACAACTAAGGGCATAATCTGAAAGGCGTGTGTTTCCAAAGTAGAAATCATCTCTGTTAATTTAAAATAATTAAAATTTTTTTTAAAAGAATAGTTGAATTTTAGCTTTATGAGAAATACTTTACTTTTGTGTAACATGTGATTATACTTACTACCTATAAAATTTAATATTTCATCTTGGTTTCAGCATAAATCATAGCATTAAAAATTGCTTTCCTCTGAATTCCTTTTATCAATTGTGAATAACAGTGATGTCTAGAATGATTTTCATTATTGAATCACTCAAAATTCCTAAAAATAGAAATAACCTAAATAGTGGAAGGAAGAGAAATATAATTTATTATTACATTTTGTATTTTCAAAGAACGTTAATTGTATAGGAATAGAATGCCAAAATGTCTGCCTGTCTGTCTTGATAATTTTAGCTGGAAGAAAATTCACCATAATGTTGACTACATTTTGCTCTAATTGTAAGATTATGGATGGGTTTTAGTTCTTTACTTTTATATAGTTGTCTTCAGGGTTTATGTGCTACTTTTATAATGATGATAGAAATAACAAATGTGATTTTTTAAGGCATTAGGATGTCTTCCATATCGGTACTCATGGCTCTTGGTGCCAAGTATTTCTAAAGTATTTCTGTTCTGCCAGCTTTGAAATAGGCCACTGGTGTTTTGTGAGGATCGGACGGACGTCTTCAGTACTGCTGTGTGATATGTTTTCGCTTAACTTCTGTTCTTTAAAGTACATGTCAGGGTTCTCTTGTTCTCTCCACAGACAGTCTTCTTATCGACTATCAGTTCACGTTCAGCTTACTACAGGAAGACGATCGGCACCACACAGCGATAAACTTCATAGCAAACCCTGAACAGGTGAGGAAAAGCCCTTCATCTCTAGAAATACGAGCAGGAAAGCTGCAACTTTTCTGTCATACTTAGTTGAGATTTTACCTTTTCTCAGAATGATCACACTCTTTAGGACTTTTGTACAAAAACTCATCCTGTTATTCTTTTCTTCACATAAAACTTAGGTTACTTTGAGTTTTAGAAACGTTGTGAGTTGTATATTTCTGGACCGTAATGTCGATTTGAACTGAAAGTTGGGCTATTCAAACTGACCAGCCACTCCTCATAAACACTATCCAGGCTTGCTATGAGTCTGGACTCACTCAATGGCACTTAACACACGTGTTTTTCAGATGGGTGGTGATGACTCAATGGTAGAAGTCTCACATTCCATCAGGAGACCAGGGTTTGATTCCTAGCCTGTGAACCTCATGTGAAGCCACCGCTCATGTATCACTGGAGATTTGCATGCTGTGATGATATTCAACAGTTTTCAGTGCAGCTTCCAGATTAAGATTAGGAAGATATGCCTGGTGATCATTTCTGACACTTAGGTGGTCAAAGCCCTATGTATGGATCATGATGGTTTGATTTACAGCTGGTCATGAGGCCAGTGAGGCCCAGGCAGCATTATCTTTGTCTGTTGTATCTAGTGCTGCTGGGAGTCAGGTCAGCTCCATGCCAGTTAACAGCAACAACATACTTCAGATTTTGCAAATAGCCCTGCACTTACTATTTCCACATCAATTACATATTATTTCTACATAATTCTGTTAATTGGGGGCACTTATAACAGTATTTATAGGTTTTCAAACTTGGAGTGGTCTTATTTAACCATGTTTTGCCAAGTGCCGTCGAGTCATAGACTCACAGTGACCTGGATTAGAGCTTCCGAGGAGCTGCTGATGAGTTTGAACTGCCGACCTTGCGGTTGAATGCTTATCCTACAGCACCACACCAGGGCTCTATTCAAAAACAGAACTCAATACGTCAAAACATGCTGTATTAAATACATGCTCATTTTCTTATTAATATATTAGCTCAGGAAAAGGCTCTGACATGGTCTAGAAATAACACCTATGTTTTTATCCATATGAGACTTTATAAATTTAAAGAAAATCCAGGAAATGGAAATATGAGCCACACTGTTGTTGTTGTTGTTGTAGTTGTTGTCAGGTGCCATCGAGTCAGAACCGACTCATAGCGACCCCATGCACAGCAGAACGAAACAATGCCCGATCCTGGGCCAACCTCACTACTGTCACATAGTTTGTTTGAATGTGTAATTGTAGTTCCTTTGAAACAAAAATAAGTGATTCAAAGTGAAGATGTTGTGTTAAATAAATGTGGATGCTTATTATAGACTAAGACATATTGTTAAATCCATATTATTTCTAATTCTTTTTCCTTTTTTACCTTTTTATTGTGAATTGAGTGAAGGTTAACAGACAATACCAACAGGTTTACTTTCAACCAGTCATACATTTTATTTCATCTCACTGATTACAGTACCCTCCCTGTAACAACAGTTATCCTATTCCATCCTGTGACTTTCCATTTACATCTTAGTTTTCACAAATGAACAATGTAAAAATATTTGGTGCAAATATGCAGAACAAAAAAATATATATATATTCATTTAAATGACCAAAGGGCACATTTTGCAAGCTAGCCTCCTGCCCACAGACACATAGCCTTTCTCAGTCGTGGGTCTAGAGTCCTCAGCTGCTCTGTCTCTCCATGCCATTGCCTCTGCCACCTTCTCTGCTGTGGCTGCTTTTCTAAGTAGGATCTCATGCTCCACTCGTGCTCTTCCTTCATGATGGTCCTTGGGGTCCTCTGTCTGATTCTTTTTCAAAATAGGTGAAATCTCTAAACATATCCTAACACTTGCTGCCTCTTTCCTTTTAAAATATTTTATTGGACTTGCTGATAAATAGTAAATTTATTTTCATTTTCAGGAAAATAGAATCCAAAAAACAAGAACAGTTCATCTTGTTTGTTTCTTATTCCCTCAATTTTTAGTAATGCCTATATTCTTGGGAATGCATTTCAAGTTGTGCCTCTTCAATCATAATTTGTGTGATATTTTCTTTCAGGTACCATTGTTTCTGCACTGGCATTCTTGATTCTTATAAACATATATTCATAACACCAGAAACAACATTCTTCATTCTGATAAGGTTTTTCATAAGTGCTTTATAATCATCCTTGTCTTCTTGATTGATTAATAGCCATTCCAAATGTAGTTCTTTGATGATGCAAGGCAATTAATGTAAGTAGAGTATCTGACTATATTTGGGTGTGAATAATGTTCCTTCCAAGGAGCTCTGGTAGCGTAGTAGTTTCAAACTGGGCTGCTAACCACAAGGTCTCCGCAGGAGAAAGAGGAGGCTTTCTGCTCCTGTAAAGATTTATAGCCTCAGAAACCCTGTACAGGGTTGCTATGAGTCGTAACCGACTCCACGGCACATAACAACAACAGCAGCAATGTTCCTTCCAGTTTATCCTTAATAGAAACTCTGAAAGAGCATGGTTAAGAGCTGAGAATCCACTTAACAGCAATGGGTTTAGTATCTATTGTGCCCTTCACGTAGGTATAATTAGCCAGAATTCAAGTTTGCTTTTCTCATATCTACCCTCTTCTCTTTCAATGTCCTGAAATCCTTAAGTATTTCCAAATGTTCCAGCTTTCAGAGATCCTTTCTCCTCTCTTGTCCAGTTGAAGCCAAGAAACCAGACGTACCAGTGGACTTAAAAAAATTGTGAAAATTTTCAGTTGTTTTTAATTTCATTTTCCCACAAACTTTTGAAGCCTCCTCTTACATTCTTGAACTTAAAGCATGCTAAGCTACCATGAGAAATGATTCCTTACAGCATCATTTTACATAATCCCCTTAATTGAAGAGATACTCATCTGGGCACAATATTGATATTAATATGGATTACTTAACAAGGTTTTCTAGTTATCGCACAAGAATATAATAAAAAGTAGATACCTGTGGGTTAATGGGCCAGACTGTAAAGCCGTTTGAACTGCAGTTGAAGCTCACCAGCTACTCCTTGGAAATCCTGTACAGGGTCGCTATGGGTCGGAATCGACTTGACGTCACTTAACAACAACAACCTTAATTATTCATGAATTTCCTATATATTATTAATAGATTTAATGCTGACCCACTATACATCTTCAATCAGCCATTTTTTAAAAGGAGCTCTGGTAGCATAGTGGTTATAAATTGGGCTGCTAACTTCAAGGTCAGCAGTTCGAAACTACCAGCTGTTCCGTCGGAGAAAGAGGAGGCTTTCTGCTCCTGTAAAGATTCATAGCCTCGGAAACCCAATTACAGGGTCGGTATGAATTGGAACCAACTCCATGGCACACACCACCACTACCATCATGCATCAAATCCAGCCATCAACCTGACCTTGCCAAAGGTACCCACATCTAACCAACAGTGTCACCATATGGTTTGCATGGTGTTTTATATGGTGAATTTTATTATTTATTGGCATAATGTCAACATCATTTCTTTCACTGTAGCATTTTTCCTCTTGCTGTAAGTAATACTTATGGGACTTTGATTACTGTATTTTATATGCCACTGATGGCTAAACTTACAGTTGATAGGAAGAACTAAAAATTTAGGAAGAGCTTTATACTTTCTGTTATAGTTGTGGAAAGCATTTACAACAAAATATACAGCAGTGAAATGATTTTTGCATGTATAATTCAGTGATATCTCATTGTTGATGTCTGATGGATCTTGGGTGAAAGCAGAGAATATCAGAAAGAAGTTTACCTGTGCTTTATTGACTACGCAAAGGCTTCTGATTGTGTGGATCATGACAAGCTATGGACAACATTGCAAAGTGTGAGTATTCCAGAACACTTAATTGTGCTCATGAGGAATCTGTACATGGACTAAGAGGTACTTGTTCGAAGAGAACATGGGAA